GATGATCTAATATCCGGAAAAATCCCAAATCCAGAATCGAAGTCCCGACGAGTCCGGATTTCGGACTTTGTACTGTATATGCGTATCCATACATGGAAAATCAAGAATTATCTGTATGAATAATAATAATATACTTTGTTGCAGTAAAAATAGGAAACTTAATTTATACCTACATTAACTGACAGTAATTTAATATGGCTGAAAGGACTGGATAAGTGCTATTAAAAGAGGCAAAATTGGGATTGAAGATGAACCATAATTAATGCAAAATGATAGTGCTACCAAGAGAAATACAAATGCATCTACGTATGTATATTTATTGATTCAACTGATACCAAGAACAAAAATTTTTTTTTTCGTCACAAGATCTGAAATTAATTATTCACAATCTTAATTCCTACCTTGAACATAAAGAATTCGCAAAAAATGCCATAAAACTTCTTCATACCTTTAAGAATACTACCTTATGGAATCTGATAAAAACAGTAAATCAACCTTCTCAATGCTTCAAAATAGTCAAGGATCTGATTATAGACTTCTGCAATTTTAAACTAAAGAACAGTACTTTTTTGTACTATTCAGTTCAAACACCCTTCTTACGATAAGTTAAAAATACCTAGCATTTTAAAAAAATTTCAGCACTTGCTTCCTGCTTGCACCTCTCCAAATTAAACCCTGTTTTAAATTTGAAAAAAACCTTAGGTCAACTGGTTATCAACCACCACGTTATACAAGATAATAGCAAATGTAATTGCCAATTGACTGTCTACAAAAAATATGTCGATCCTTTCCACCAACATATTATTACAGGAGATCTTAATATCGTTGAAGATGTTGAATTACGTACCCTTTTGCAACTTGGCACCAAATTTCGTCCTACTTTCGGTATTAATAGACACGTCTGCCTCAAACAATTCAATAATGATCTTGATAAATTTATTATTTTAGCTAGTAATAGATCCAATTTACCCACTACAACTTTTCTTGAATGGAAAGCTGCACTTATTAAAGAATTTCAACGTTTGCTGTTCAAGTCACCTTGTTTCAACTCTTTACACAATAAAAAACGTCTGGAGGATCTAATTCAAAAATTGCAAGATCACTTTATCATCACGAAGATTGACAAAGCAAGCAACAATTTTAGTGTTATTTGACAACAATTCTACTACAACCTTCTGCATAAAGAGTTAAATAACACTTGCACTTACCAAAAAATCACTACCAGTGCTCAGATTCTTCTCAATAAATTTAAAGCACTCCATAAAAGACTAAAAATACAACCCCAGAAATATAACAACAGGTTTGCCAATCTCTATGCCTTACCTAAATTTCATAAGTCTCCAATAAAATTCAGGTTTATAGCGAATAATACCAAAAGTTATCTCAAAGAAATAGATTATCTCTTTGCACAAACCCTCAAAATCAAAGTTATTAATTAGGTCACGTATCATACGTGACCTAATTTAATAACTTTGATTTTGAGGGTTTGCATTGCAACTGGATGATCTCTAGTAACGAACTAGTTCTTAAAACTATGAATTCACTTAAAATAGACCATATCCAATGCTACGACTTTGAAAACCTCTATACATCTCTACCGCTTGAAGAAATTTTTACAAGTTTACTAGCTCTTCCAGATTTATTTCCACAAATTTCTACCATTCTCAGCTATGAAAAATGGCAACTATTCCTGACCAGCGTGCTCTTCAATAATTTCATTCAATTTGACAATAACATATATAAACAAGTACAGGGAATCCCTATGGGCGGTAATTTTTCAAGCTCTGTCTGTGAATTATTCCTGTTTACTAAAGAATTGACCTATGTCCGTTCACTCAGTACAGAAGAACGTATCTTTTACCAACACATCTATAGATATATTGATGATGTCATTGCATTTAATAACTACAACAAAATAGAAATAGCTAATATCTACCCTGCATGCTTAAAACTAAATAAAACAAATACAGAACAGCATAATGTAGTCTACCTTGATTTACATATTATAGATTACAATTTTATTAAAGTTTACGACAAAAGAAGAGAATTTAATTTTTCCACACTTAAATTAACTAACTGGAATTCAAATATTTCCAAAAGAGTCATACTCAACACAATTTATTCACAGCTACTTAGAATAAAAAGAATCTGCAATACTGCGAAACACTTACAAGAAGAAATACTATACTTCGTAACTATTTTGAAAAGTAACCTAATTCCTCATAAAATAATTAAAAATACCCTAACAAAAGCTGGCATTAGCCTTACCTATTTTTAGATTTTTTGAATTAGATAATGATATTTTATGCCTAAAGCCCGAAGGACGGTTTAAGATGGATGACTGATTCAGAGAATCTAATGTAAAAATGTACAGATAATTCTTGTTTATTCATTCTCTTTCCTCCAAAATTTTGGCACTTTACTTTTAAATACTATTGTGTAAATAGTTTTTAAATTTCTATAATGGCCAATTTACAATTTTACTACTTTTATTAACAAATCGGGCCTTTTCGTTTTTCATAGTAGCTTGATCGCCCGCTAGCTTGAAGAATTACGACTTTTTTAACAAATGACTGTTTTTCCCTTTTACTCTTGCTTTAGTGGCCAAGTTTTTGTAGTTTTAGCTGAATTAGCCATTTTCACTTTGAGACAAAATTTTTTTCCTTCCAACTACATATCAGGCGCCATTTTTGAAATCTTTTCACATTTTTTCGAGTTTTCTGACTCCCTTCCATAATAGGAGACAAGTTGCAGATAACGGACAATCTCTTCGTATTGGCTAATGCCCACAGAACTTCACTCCCCCCTACATACGTCATACGACTGAAGTACACAGAAGGGAATTACAACCACTTTTCAACTAGTTTTAAGAGGGAGAGATCTGCATCGCCACAGGTCAGTTTTTTGTTTCTTTTGTTACAACTTTTTCTTGGTTTTAGCAAGACCCACTTGGTTTGTTATCATCTTAATTTTCTTTTATTTTAATTACAGATTTTCATTACAGATTTCTAAAATATATAAAATTGTTAATCTTTAAGCTTGCAGGCCCAGCCCGTATGTTTTTTGTATATTTAGGACTAATAGCAGACCGCTATTTATTTTTGTTTTTATTTTGATTTAATTTTGATTTTGATTTTAGTCTAGATTTAAGATGTTTCGGTATAGTTTAACATATTTTAACACCTTAATGTGTCATTTTGTGCGGACGCGTCGGGAAATTGGAACAGAGAATTGAGACTATTAAAATTTTCCAAGACACTTTGTCTAAATTTAAAAAAATTTTGTAGCGAAAAAGTTTCAATTGTCTGTTTCGGCGAAACACGTAATGGGGTTAGCTTGATTCGACGTTCAAACAAATTAAATTTCCCTTGAAAAGCCAGTTTGGAAGTCGAGTTGGACTAATTTACCATTTTCCGCTTACTTTTTTTATCTGATTCTGTTTTTTTAATGTTTTACATGTTTAATGGTTTGATTTTCATATGTATTAATTTTTTAAAACGTGTTGAACTTTTTGGAGCAACAGCTCCTGGTAACTTTTAGGCGAGCTTACTACAATTTCTATATTTTACTTAATTTGCAGCATATTGCGCAATATGTTTTCTAGACCAAATTGGTTTTTCAAAATTGTAATTTCTACCTTGCTTGATATCTAATTGATTCAACTTTATATATGCAGTATAATTAAATGAAAAGAGAATATACGAAATAAGCAAAAACCAAGCTTAATAGAATAAAAGAAATATATTAATAGTCATGTACGTAGAAGGAATGAATAAATCACTATGGTAAATATGTATTATTTAAACAGATTAAAAAAAAAAAAAGCAGCTAGCATGGGAATTGAAATGGAAAATACAGAAAGCGTTTACACATTTTTAGAACAAAGTTGATAAAGAAATAAAATAAAAGCAGATGTTTTACAACAAAAATTTCTGGCAACAGCTTATTATTTGAAATGAGAAATATTGTCCGCTACTTTTAAATTTAACTTTCTTTAAAAGTGTTGCATGTAAACAAGCTCTGGTGTGAAGAATATGTTTTTGCACTTTTTTAAGAGAGATATTCCTGTTCTATATTTTAAAAATATTTTGAAATCATGGTATTAAAATTTATAAATTCAAAATAAGCAACCTACATGGATCTCCAAATGGATAACGGAAAAGGTACGTACTCTTTCTAATGATCTTAAGTTAAATCGGTGGTGAAAAGATAAAACCTGTTGATGCAGAAATCAATTGCTGAAAGAAAGTCTTTAAAATATCTGTAGCAACGATGTATAAAATAATAAATCAAGATTTACAACATAAAAAAGTAAAAAAAAAAAAAAAAATATATATATATATATAATGTTCACCGGCTTTTGTCAAGGCATGTGGCTCAGCCCACAACACTTTGTATGGTCCGGTTCTTGTATCATCTTAATATGTATTGAAATTGAATAAATGTAATTAACAACTATGCTAGCTGTAACTGTAATTCCACCCTCTTATTGCTTTTCAGTAATTTCGAGAAGCAGGAAGTACTAGAAATATCTCGGTGGCTGGTTGAAACCCATTTAAGGCCAAAGAGAGAGCATTTACTCTCAGTTGCTTAGTTATTGTTGTTGTGAGGTATTAGTTCCACGTGAACTGAGATATCGGAGCTAGCTTTCTCTTTAGATGCTCTTTGCATTGCGTTGTGTTTAACGTTCTTAGTAGTTTGAAGCGTAACTACTGATTGTACTCTGTGAACACCTGTATGAGTATTTCTGTGGAAAATTCCATAACTTTAATAAATGTTTCTATTGATAAAATAAATTTTATTAACCTATCATCGGACCTGCTAACATTCAATTTATTACGAACCTGTATGCATGCAGCAATATGTATAAATTTATTTTCGTATAAAATATGCACGTACACATGTTAAAAAATTTTGATTAATTTGAGCCTTAACTTATTAAGTAAGCATTGTTGCAGTGATAACTGATTGGATGTGTAAATGGTCTTCTAATTTTTTAGCTGTTCTCTCAAGCTCGGCTTTGTGCACCAAGTATAATATTTTTGGATGAATTGGATAGTTTAGTTGGCTGCCGGCAATTTGATACAAAAACTCAAAATATAGGAGAAAAAGTGTTATCAGTTTTATTGAATGAGATGGATGGATTTGGTGAGTAAAATTTTAGTTTTAACTTTTTTCCACTCATTGAGTATGATCAAGAAGTTCTCATATATTTTATTCGTGTTCCTAAATACTTCTCTAAAAGTAAAACCATGTCTGAATTATTTATATGTATGAAATTTAAATGTTCATCGAGCAGTTTTTATTTAAAACAGAATAATTACGTTTTTACTTAAAGCTGGTTTTTTTCCAAACAGATGTGCTGTTCTAGAAAGCTCAAGTTACAGTTATAGAATACAAAAATGTGGTAGAAAGCAAATTAATCTAAAAAAGATGATTTTTTTAAGCATTTCATTTTCTGTAAATGGTAATGCTAATTAATTTAAATTCTCCTTCCAGTCTATGCCATTTCATAGTTGAGGATGTTATGATGCTGATATAAGTTTTTAATTGTCATATTTTAGCTGTGTTACACATTTTTGTTATTTTTTCCAATTTTTATCTTTTGCTGTTAGTGTTGAGATCAATGTACCCATTCCTAGGAGTGTTCTCTACCGAAATTGCGGTGGAGTTGCATAGTTAGTGTAATGGATAGAAAATGTGGCAGAAAGAATAGAACTTCAGACCATACTGGCTTGTTAAAACAATTGGAAGAAGTTAATTGGAAATTTCACCTTCTAATTTTTATAAACTAAATGGTTTAGAATTCTGGAGTCCATGTGTGTTCTATAATTTGATGACAACTTCTCAAAATGAGCCATTAAGCGTTTTAACCCCTTCTCCAAGGGGGGGGGGAGAAGTATAATTTTGGCAACCCAGATGAAGAAATGTTGGTTAATTTGGTCAAAAGTTACTCAGGATAGAATTTAAAATATTTAGGAACCATCATTTTTGAGTAATCAAAAAACAGTGTTAATTTATATAGATTTCATTTTAAAACATGGTTTTCTTTTTAAATGAAGCTATTTTCAGCAATTAAACTTATTATCTTCTTTAGCTGCGACTAAGAAACTGATGAAGGCCAAAGTGTACCATCACTGAAAGTATTGCTGCTAAAATGAAATCTAGATAAATCAGTGTTGTTTTTCTTGCTCTGAGTTTTGCTCGGCATGTCATTCTTTCCACAACTGTCTTTTTTTTTAATTGATGTTTATTTTTATTATTTAAGATAGGTTTTTGTTATACATGTAAAAGTCATTTGGAGAATGTTTCACCAAAGCATATCAGTTAGACTTTAAAATACACACACACAATATATATATATATATACTGTATATGCTCATTTAATGTCTACGCTCATGTAATGTCCGCCCCCCCCCAACTTTACAGATAAAATTTATGTAAAAAAAAAGTGACCTGCACAATGTCCGTACCCCAAAAACCAAAGAATTTCTTTCTTTGAAGTATATTTTTTTAATATTGCCTTTTCCCCTTCAGTCAATAAACATCTTTAAAGAAAGAATATGCATTTGTTTTGTCTTTGGTTGGCTCCAGGATGGAAAGCAGAGACTTTTCCTTGCATTCTGGTGCAGCTGTTACTCAGTCAAAATATCAGCACCAGCAGTCCACTCGGCAGACATGATAATAAATGAAGGCGATCCAAATAGGTTTTCACCGCAATGAATTTCAAGAAATGCTGTTTTGAAATGAAATTACTTTCCCCTCCTTCCTCCTTGGAGCATTCACATATTTCAAGCTTTCTCTTTTCGTTCATAGTATCAATTTGGAATTCGTGGTAGCTAGCAAGTAGCATGCTTGAAATGGGAATATACAGCGGCTTTTAAACTGAAAATCATAGAATTTGCACAGGAAAATAGAAAAAGAGCAGCAGCAAGAGTATATTAGGTGGTGCACAAAAGTGTGTTCACAATTGGAGCAAACAGCGTGATGAACTAGCGGCAACGAACAAAACAAGACTTGTGTTTCGTGGTTCGAAATGTAAGTTTCCAAACTTAAAAAAAAAGTAGTAGCATATGTTTGTGATATGCGTGCTCAAGGGTATGCAGTTGCATGAAAATGTGCCAAATAAGAGCGCTTGCTGCGGTACAAGAAGAAAACATTTGTACTTTGCAATTCAAGCCAAGTGAAGGCTAGTTGTGGCGAATGATAAAATGAAATTGGTTTTCGTTCGCTGGCGTACGACAATATGTCAAAAAGTTCTCAGTGACTATTGAAGATAAGTTGATGTCCTTTCATCGCTTCATTATCGCAAAGCAAATCATTATTTAGCTTCACAAATTTCGAATGACGATCAGACGCCAGTTTATTTTGTTACTTCAGACAATTACACCGTAAATGAACAGGATACAAGATCTGTATCAATATGCAGATGTGGATATGAAAAGCAAAGAGCAACTGTTATGTTAGCAGTTACTGCCAATGGCAAAAAAACTCCTGCTGTACATGGTTTTTTAAGTGAAAAACAATTGTGGTACGAGTTCAAGCAAAGTTGTGGATGGATGGTGCTTTTTTTCAGGACTGGCTACAGAGTCTGTGGTTATAAATGACCTGGATCTTTGTGCAGCTACCTTATCTTCTCACGTGGGACAACTTCAAAAAGTATCTCACAGACACAGTGAAACAAAATCTTGAAACCTCAAGAACTGTTCTTCCTATGATCCCAGGAGGTCTAACTTCCATCCTTCAACCACTTGATGTTTGTATAAACAAATCATTTAAAATGGCATTCAATCAGAGCTCCTATAATTGGATGACTTCCAGGGAATGTGGAATGTGAGTTGCTAAGTATTCCTGTCGACTTAGCTTAGTCTTAGCTCATTGGCTCAACCGATAGGTTAGCGGCCTCTTGGATCACCTCTAGGGGTTGGGGTGTTTAACTGTGTTAAGGCAGCCTCGAGCTTCCCATGTATTAGTGTTCCTTCCTCCTAGCACACTGTCTTATTTGACCAAAAGGTGTAACCAGGGCAGGAGTTCGTCTCTGGTGTTTTCTTGTGTCTTATTTGAACGTGAAAATACGTGATGCCAATGCATATGTAAGGGTAGACGCATTCGACAAATTGCTTAATCCTTATTTTGTGTCTTCTGTTGCAATAGTAGTAATTTGTCCAACATTTATTGTTTTTGTTATTGCTTGTTGTTATTGGTTTTCTACATAAAATAAGTTAAGTGCAGTTACATATTATGTTAAACTTAGGTTAACTTTTTAAGCAACGATTAGAGCATAATTACTTGAAAACTGTTTACTTCTCATGTTTAAACCATTGCTGTATTCTTGGTCATGTAAATTACTAATTTCTAAACCATTTTCCTCTAAAGTCTTTAATAAGAATGTTGTTTGTCATTCACCTGTCATATCAGTTGAAACACAAAATATTAAAAACCTTTCTTCAGTACTCATGTCTGTATTTTCTAAATTAAGATACCTCATACAAACTAATAACTGCTCTTGATGACTGCCTTCAGTACAATCAAGGATACAATCAAGTAGAATAGAAAAATACTTTGCCTGTTTGACCTTACTTAAAAAAAATTGCTTTATATTGTTCCCCAATAAGCTAATGGTTTCATTTTGAATTTTATCTTCAAGGTAATGAAGCATATTTTTTTGAGTTTGAATTTTATTAATATATACAGGCATGATAGTGTCAAATTTTGTGATAATTTCTATATACATTAAAAAATTATTATTTCTTTCAAATAACTTGTCACTGGAACCACAGAAGGCTAAAAACTAAATGGCATAGATAATTCTGTAAATAACATCGTGCCAATGCTTAGTCTTTTTTTTTTTAAAATAAATTTCGAAATTCCGAATCAATAGGTTAATTCTTTTGTAATTGTTCTAAGAAATCGGACTAAAGATGTAGATTCCAGAAATGCATTTTAATTTTTTCATGAAGTTTGAAGTGCTCATTTAAATAATTCCAATTGTTAAATTCAGAACTACTCAGTTTTACATTGCTGAAACTGTTAAAAATTTTGCAACAAAAACAATGAACATAATTTTTTCAGCAGAATTTAGAAACTAATCCCTTTTAACTCTTTGGTTGTTTGGCAAGATTCGACAAAAGTACATCTAAAAAAATTTACATCAATTTTCGTCTTTTTTTGTCAATTTGAAACCAGATTATCCAGGACCATTTTCTATTAAAGTTTGAACTTGGAATGGCAGTAATGGGCTTGGGCATAATCTGGAATCATCAAGAACAGGCAAATGCGTATCTACTGCAGAAAGCGTAGATTTCACTAGTATTTCTTCTGTTTTTTTCAACCGGCTGCATTGAAGTTAAAGGTCATTCCCGGGTGAAAACACTTTCTAACAGTCACTGATTATTAGGTTCTTTTGGCAATTTCAGTGGTAGCTGAGACATTGATGGAAAACTAGTGCTAGTAGCGTCATCTTGGGTATTCCGTGGGTTTTGGAAAAACTGAGTAATTTTAAAGTTTTGGTTTATTAAGTCTTCCTCCCACTTTCTTTTTCTTCATTGCATTGATATTCAGACAGTTTTTTCTGTTTTCCTCCCGACATCTGAGGAAAAATGAAAACAGAAAAAGCGAAAGTAAAAAATAACTATTATAAGAACTATTGTATAAAACACTTCTTCTTATAAACATTCGGAAAGTCACTGAAATATTTTACCTTGTGAAAAACTGAGTATATCTTAAACCATTGCTTGGAAAATATATGAAATATTACATGAATACCAAATAATACAAGGAGGTGGTACTACTCTTTTGTTTATTAAAGTAAATAAATCAAATTTAAAGTATCTATTTAAAATGTAATGAAATAGCGAAACATTTTCCTTCGGTTTTCCATATAGCTAAAAATCAGAGAATGGCCAATTTTTTTATTTCAGAATACCTTGTATATTTTTACTTCTTCAAATCTCAAATAAGCATAATTTAAATTCAGTGATACTCCATAAACATGCCAATCTTTTCGTCTCGAAAGATACTAATTCTTAGTTTAATAAACAAATGGTTCATGTAAAAAAAAAAAAAAAAAAAAAAATTAATAATAATGCTCAAATTGTCACTTTTCTGAATTAAAAAGCTAGCCTATATTTAACTTAATATGTAACTTCACTTACCTTTTCTATGTAGAATTTCAATAACAATAAGCTGTTACAAAAAAAAAAAAAAAAAAAAAAAAAAAAAAAAATCGCAAAAAAGATAAATGTTTCACAAATTACTACCATTGCAACAATAGACACAAAATAAGGACTAAGCAATTTGTCAATCACGTCGACAGCGCCAGCCTATACCCTTACATACGCATCGGCATCACATATTTTTGTTCACATAGATTTACAAGATCATCTCATGTCAAAAATTGAAAAAAGCATTAACTAATAAAAATCAAAGCGATATAAATCGTATATAGATCTTGTGCATGAACTGCAGTTTTTTAAAACTTTTGGAGGAAATGTAGCATCACCGGTTGAAACTCTAAATTATATGGTTGTCAACAACATAGCGGCGTGCAAAAAGAGTATTTTGGATATGTCCCTAGATAACTTTCCTACAGCATTTTTTGTGCCTTTTGTAATCACAGTTTGAACTTTGTCGTAAACAACGCTGCGAACAACAGTTTATTCAGTGCAAACTTATTAGATAACTAAATTAATTTGTTTTTAATTTTAAGATAATAAATAGTGTTCAGCAATATATGTTTGGTATACATAGCGTTTAGTATATTCATAGCGCTTGCAGTGTTACGTTTTTATAACATGTAGTTGTTGACTAATGCTCACTTGTCTGACCTACAGTCAGCCCTAGCCCACGAAATTCCTCGTGTCAAGGAGCACAAGATACGCCTGTCATTGGCAACAGTCTTGAGCACCTTACAGGTGACAGTGCAATTTAGCTCAGTTTCGCCCCCAATTTTGATGGAAAGTATCCTGTGGGGGATGGGTCCGAGCGTCTCCCACCCCTCTTCCCCCACCACCAACCTTTCGAGAGGACTTTCGCCTCGCATATTTAGAGTGCCCCCATGCCGCACAGACACTATACATTTACAAACATCCATGCCTTCTCCGAGATTCGAACCTGGGCCCTTAAGCGCAGTCAGCACTATACCGGTTGGGCAGCCTTTCATAACATATGTATGTATAATTCTTCAATAAAATATGTTTGAGTGTGGGTTTTAACAAAGCACAAAATGTTTGCGTAATTAGACAAATTAAAAGATAAAATGTAATTCTTTTGTTTTTTCATATCATCATGTTAATAATACTTCATTTTAAATGTTAATGCAATGACATCACTGCATAAAGGCGCTCGCTAGACATTTGCATGATGGCACCAATTAGGCTTGGCGCTGGCCTGTCCGCACCTGCACTTTAGTAATGTAATTTTATTAAAAAAAGTGTGGACATAATGTGAGTGTATACGGTATATATTATGGGTTAACTTTTCTGTCTATTGAACAAAATAGTTGTTAATACTTTGTTCAGCATCTGTGTTGTTTTTGAAATGATAATGCTAAAGAAATTATTATAAGTGCATACTGAAATAACTCAATACTCATATTAGTGTTTAAAAGAATTGAAAGACTAGCACAGAAAGGAAATCAAAGTAGAAGAGACTGAATAGCTTTCATTCGATTCGCCAAAAGTTCTTTTGCTTAGCTAAGGTTGCTTTTATTTGTTTCATCATTAGGTACTTGGTGTAGAGATCTTTCACAGCAAGTTTTGCATTTTTGTTTTGTTAAACTGAATACATTCATTATCTATTGGTCAAACTATGTTTCTGGTAATAGAATTTTGAATTTATTAACTAATAAAATAGTATTTTTCATCAGTATATGTCATTATTCCAGATCCTTGGACATATACCAAATTAACTTTTCCTCTAAGAAATAAAGAGAAAATAATTAATTGATCTATTCTTGTAACAAATTCCATTGTTTTTATCATAAAACTTTTTGATAGTAAAATACAAATGCAATGGGTGAAATCTATATTTGTACATAAACAAAACACTGCACATGTTATTGTATATAAATCATTTTCAAATGGTCAGATCAAAAGCAGTTTTTCAGCATGCTCTAACGCCTCTGATTTTTGTTTGGGAATTATTAATTTTACCTCTTTTAAAAAGTATTTTTTTAACATGCTCTGATGTCTCTGATTTCTATTTGGTAATTAATTTCACCCTTTTTACAAAGCATCTTTGTTTTTTACAACTGTAGACACCATTGCCCTCAGCATACAGTATGCAGTAGTTAGGTCATAGATATGCATGCCATCTTCATATTTTACAACCTCATTTTTTACCTCATGGTGGTCTTAAGAATTTTCTTTGTTGTTTGACTCTTCTCATTAACTTTTCTAAAACTTATTGTCAATGGATGTACAAGAAATTTATGTGAGAAAGCACAAAATCACTTGAAAAGTCAGTTATATTGTGGGTTGTTTTACTGAAGTAGAAATAGGCATAGTAGCAGTGTAAATGGTGCTTATGAGCAGTTATAGCATTGTCGCAGAAATAAACATTTGTAGTGTGTGCAGTCATGCAAATCCGAGTCATATTCCAAACAAAAATATTCATGTCTTGACAGAATGTATACCAAAGTGGATGTATTTGCTTCCAAACAAATATTTTCATGTCCAAATAGGATGCTTACTAAGTTGGATGTATTTCAAAGTGGACATAGACCAAAATACCATTGTATTTCGAAATAAAAAACTTAGCATGCAAGTGCAAGAAAATGAAATTAAGCATGCTTCCAAAAGCTGCTGAAAGGAAAAAATTATGTTGCACATATGATGGTAATCATTGTAAACTAAAGAGAATGAAAAAATGTAGATACCATGACAAAAGGAATTAAAAAAATTAACAGCATGCAAGCAAAGCAAGAGATAGCCCTCAAGTTGTACACCTACAGCATGTGTGAAAAGCACTCAATTAATATAATATTAGTTATTAATTTTCTGACAAAGTAAACTGTATTCTCCTCTTTGTTAGTATGTATATTTTCTATATGTTTATATGCTTTTAAGAAAGATTTCTTAATTTTATAGGTGCCAGATCAAAATTTGCCAGAAGTAGCTCAAACCTGAAGGTATGGATTAAAAAGAAAATGTGTCGAAAGTGTAAATTTTAAAGAATACATTGTGAAACAATAAAACAGTTTAATAAATGCAGCCAGCTGCTAAGACAACCAGCTGCGTTTCCAGATAGTTTCTTTTTCTGTCCACTTTCCCGTCCCCCCCCCTAAAAAATAGTGGTCACTTTCATAGGTAACTGTGTCTTTTAGAAAATGCAATGCCATTATGAGGCTGTATTTTGGAGTAAGCTTATTTTAATCGAATATCCCAATTCTAAATTTATTCTGTATTCAAAATATAACTATATATCTTAATATCTGTTTAGTGAAGAAATAACCCTTCTGCTGATTTTATGATGGTTTCTTAACCCTTTCCAGACATATACAGTAGCATTTGGTTCATCTATGCTTGATATCATGTCTGCATCTCTGAGCATTCATGCCTAGCTAGACTGATGTAACGTATACATAACAATCACATGGAATGAAATTTAAATATTTTTAATTCTAACAGATGCCATTCTATGTCCATGGTACCAAGATAAATGGGAATTATGATGCATTTTTGTTTGTTTCTTTCAAGTTGCTTTCTAAGGGAAAAAGGGAAAATTATCTTGCTTAGAGCAATTTTTTTTTTTTTTTTTTTTTTTTTTTTTTTTTTTTTTAAGTTTTTTCTTTTCATATGCAGAATAAGATGTTCTTTCTATTGTGTGAATGTACATTTTTTTGGAAATTTTTTTTTCCATCAGGATGTCAAAACGAAAGTGATATTTAACAGAAGCTTAGTATACAGCTTTGTAACAAGAAGATCTAGGTAGCAGCAACGTCAGTGGCTTTAGCAGTGAATTTTTGGATTTTGTTACGAATATTTTATCAGATTCAGAATTGCATCCTTTTACCTCAACATCTGCTCCATCCATAAGTGACAATTGGTCTCCTACACTAAAAGTTTTGCAGCTGCATGCTTATATTCATACATCTAGTATTAATTACAGTACAATAGATGATGGCCGTGATACAGAAGATTTTTTTCCTCAGATATTTTAATGATGACTTAGTGAATTTAATTATGGAACAAACAAATAATTTTGCAGATTTTGACCTGCATTAAGATCCAGACCTCAGTGGATCATTTCGAGATTCTCCTGCCCCTTCTCATTTCAGTACTGTGTCACATGAAGAAATGAATTTTTTTAGCATTAAATATACTAATTTGTATAACCCCCCCCCCAAAAAAAAAAAAAAAAAAAAAAAAAATTCTAAAAATGCAGTTTACTATAAATCAGATAACTACACCATTTTTTTTAATAAATTGATGTCAAGAGATAGATTTTTGAAGATGTGATATCTTCATTTTACACCAGACAGTAGTGCTAAAAAAATTAGGTAAACAGAAACCATTTATTAAGCCACATTTAGAAAAATTTTAAGATGTGTATTAACCGAAAAAGAAAAAAATGTGTTTGTTGATGAATCTTTGTTTATGTGTAAAGGCAGGCTAGGTTTTTAGGTAATATGTTCCATCGAAACAATCCTCATATGGCATAAAAACATATAAACTAATGAATCTCATACATGTTATGTTACGGACTTTTTAGTATATACAGTCTTACAGCAAGAGATGGCATATGTGGTGAAAACCATCATAAGTGATCTTTTGGGAAAGGGATACAACTTATTATCTGGATAGATTTTCACTTGACCATTCTTGCATTAGATTTATATGATACAAAAATGAATGTTTGTGCCACAATCGTGAAAACTAAGAAAGGTATGCAAAAAATTTCAGATTAAAATCAATGAGACAAAACGATGTAAGGACAATATCTAGTAAAAATATGTATCTGGTTGCATTTAAAGATAAAAAGAAGGAAGTATTGCTTTTAACTACAATGCATGGACACGAACTAGAAGATTCTGGTAAACAAAATTACAAAGCAGAAGAAAGTATTAAGAAACTTAACTATATATTGCAGTACAATAAAAATATAGAAGGGGTGGATATTAGTGATACAGTCACTACTCATTATCTATCTATCTCATTACATTTCGTGAATCAGAAAGATTAGAGTATTTTTTCACGCTTTCTCTTTTTTTGAAGGCGCTTCTTTATAATTAACTGCTGTTGCTTTAGCTCTTTTTTTTTTCTTCTTGTAATTTCTTGTTACTTTCGTTGTTAACTTCCGTGTTTTTGTTTAGAGGCACAGTCACATAGATAACAAAAATGTCCTAAGTGTCAAAGTCTCTGCCTACAACCCAATTTGGCCATAATTTCCTTTAGGCCAAATTCATGGTCCTGTAGTCACTTGCTATCAGACTTTGTTAATGAGACATTACATTGGAAGATATTAAAATGATGTTTACAGATGGCATTAAGTGGGGTTTTTTTTTTTTTTTTTTTTTTTTTTTTTTTTTAACTCCAGTGGCAAGCTGAATGGGCAACATTCAGCATTGGCCATTTTAAGGCCAGAAATGATGGCCATTTTGTTGTGGAGATACCTAATAGGCGGCCACCATTGCCTCCTATGAAGGTAACGGACAGTTACAACCAAGTCTTCTCTGAGATTCAAACTCAGTCCCTTCAGTACTGCAGTAGAGTGTTTATTATGTGGCATAGGTTATTTCAAAATACCTCTGAGCATCATATATTGATGACCTGAGTGTTCGAAACGCGAAGCACTGTTCATCATCCATGGCATTTTTTGTTTAGATAATTTGTTTATGAAATGTATTCATGATGCAAGGTTCCACTGTATAGGGCATAATAAAAACTTTTTCTGTTTCAATACTTGCTTATTTGATTAGTTAATATCTGATATGCTTAAATGCGTTGGTATAATATTAAAATACCTGATATGCTTAAATGCCTTGGTATAATATTAGAATACCTAAATGCAAGGGTAGTTAAGAAAATGAGTATGGAAATATAGCCTTCTATTGTTTGTTTTTTATTAAACATGTATTCAAGCATAGGAAATCCAATGCATCCACCCATCCAGAATTCCAAAACTGAGAATAATGGGATCTGAATAAATTTCATTTGCAGTCAAAATACTTATTAAGTATTGTGAAATAAACATTTTTTAACAATTTTTTTAAGCAAAATGCACACCCATTTGAGGAAATGTTATTTATTTTTTTATCATATTTTATTTTTGTAAAGATTATACTATTCAAAAAAGCAAAATATTTTTATTTTATAAAGCTATGAAAGGAATGATTATTTTTTTATTTGTCTAAATACACACCTCATTCCGATTAAATCTAAAAAATAAAACTAGTTTTCACTTACATAATTCTGAAATTAATCAAATAAATTTATATTACAGAATATGTTAACTATTTTACATTCAACTAAAATTAAACATAAGATACCCTTCCAAGTTAGCAAGTATACACAACATAATTGTTTTTCAGTTAAAGTTTATTGGCTACTTATTTGTCAAATATTGTAGGCCAGTTTACACATTGTACACATTTGATAAAATTGAAAAGCTTCTTAAAATTTTGTGCTGTGTAACTTTTCATAGTATTGAAATCAATATAATTGTTAAAAATTCTTAAATTAACTCAAAGCTTAAGTTTACATGGTAGTAATGGAACAACCATAATCTAAATAAATTAAAAAAACTCTTAAACTAACTCAAAGCTTCAATTTACTTTATAATAATAATGGAACAACCATAGTCTATAAATACATAAATGAGATAAGTTTTGGCTTGCTTGCTGAATACAGTGTTGCATCTAAGATATAAATATTAAATCATTTCAATTTTATTTTCTGTAAATTGTGTTTACATATATTACAAAGGAAATATGCACCATATCCACTAAAGTTCTTACCCTGTCTTTATTTTCATAACCATTGGTCGTATACTTCCAATAACAAAAAAATTTTAATTGATGTAAATATTCATGTTTTGGCATTTTTTAATTAAAAAATCAGTTTTATTAAAAAAGAAGACATGTAGTTTTTTATAGAATTTCTTGGTTCTTATATTTAAGAAAATTTCATATTCATATTATAAAAACAAAAAAATAAAAAGTTTGATATAGCAAAAATTGATTGAGATAATTTAATTTTAGAGTTTTCAGTATTTAATGTTATTTTCAGATTAGCTTCAGCGGTCAATTAATAAATAAATTAGAATAATTCAAGGTGGCATGGCTTTTGAATATGCTCATGAAGACCTAAATTTAAACAGCATTTACTAGCTAAATTTGTAGAATTACTTATTTTTGTCTCTGTTTTCTTAAACTTTCATTAAGATGATATTTACATTATTAAAGCAAAATATTTTAAGTTGTAATCTAATATATACCAAGTGCAAAATTCTCGTGGCCAGATAAAGGCGGTCATGGCATTCAGAGCGTAAATACTATTCAGTGATATTCTTTTGTGATTTCCAAGTGATCATTCTTTATTTTACAATTCTTATCACAGCTGTGATACTAAAGGAACTTTTACACAAGTAAATTATAAGTTTTTAAGTGTTAAAAATATGTTATTAATATTCTTATGAAGTTTTGTAAAAAGCTCATTAAACAGGAAACCTTTTGAATTTTTAATTGTTGTAAATAATATTATGAGCTGGCTATATGACAGCACTGAAGCTTGCCAGTGTTCTCTAGAACAGGGCTTCTTAAACTTTTTTCTGTCGGGACCCCTTAAGCATTGAGCAAACCCGACACACGCAAAGTGAGTGAAACTGTCACTTTTTTCACATGTACTGTAATATACTATTGCAGTTTTAGGCCATTAACTTTAATTTCTTATTTTAAGACCTAGAACAATGTGCAGATTTTAAATAAGTAACAGAGGAAGTGACAGCGTCATGTACAAAGCAAGTAAAATGAACATTTATATTATATTATAAAAAGAATGCATCGAAACATTTTCATTTTTTCTTTGTTTGTATTGTCTTATCTTTACCTATTTTCAGATACATTGTGTAAAAATATTTGGTAACTGTAAAATTATTATAAGTTAAAGAAATATCAAAACTGCTTAAATTTTTGGTGACCCCCTGCTGCAGGTCCCGCGACCCACAGTTTAAGAAAATCTGCTCTAGAACATAAAGTCTGTAAGGTTCTGTGATTAAGATATCTTTTTTGAAAAAAGAATTATACTCATCAATATATTTCATAATAATCTGCACAAAAACGCTTATCAGTTAATCTGTTGAATTTAGTAATTTTGGTAAAATTTATTTAAAAAAATTTTAAGATATCAAAACATGGATATTTGCATCATTTGAAAATAAGTTTATAATTGGTTATAATGATCAACAGTTGCAAAAGTTATGATCAAACAGTTGAAAAAAAAAGGCCAGGTAAGAACTTTTATGGACACAGTGTGTAAGTAGTCATTAAGTTAATCCTAGTTTGTGTGTGCAGTCTGTATGAAAAGGCCTGAAATAATAGTAATAATGCATGAAATATTTTGCTGTTAAAAGCTTAAAAGAAATTCACTTGGTTACATGCTATAGAGCTGAATTCTCCATTTAAGTTCAAATTCTGCCATCTTGTAAGTAATCATCATAATCCATTTTTATACATTCTTTACCTTTTCTTTAACCAGATTTTTTAAGATATTGCTAATGTCTACCTGTTTGTAAAGAATCACAAAGAAAAATACATTTATGTTGAAGGAGTTGATGGTGCTTTTATAAAAGCAGAGTGCAATTATGTATACTATATACATTTGTAGAACAGAGCAGTATTTAAGGCAACTGTCCACGGTTCCAGATAATTTTGGTTCTGTGAAATTCAAAATCTGCTCCATGGATGTTTTCTTGGTTTTTCCCATGTGTTATGTAAATACGAGCCAGTTTCCCTTATTGGGAAATCAGGAATTTCTTGGTTGGTACTGAGGCATCAACTGCTGTACTTTTAACCTGTACCTGACTTAATGCTCTAAGGGCACTGGCTGTAAATAGAAAAATAAGCACTTGTGCATTACTTAGATTAAATCTAAGTAAAACAAACATGTGGATTTTATCCCCGAACTGAAAAATAAGTTGAATTCATTGGTATAAAGTAGAGGAAAAGAATGTTTGAGCTGGTGAGAACTGTTTTGTTAACAGGCAGAATTGGGAGATGTGCCTCTGGTGCCATCTAGCAAGTGAGAATCAAGTTATTCTTTGGTGAAATAAATTTGCTTAAATTGTCTCAGAGTAGGCATCAGTACCTTAACCATATATGTGTTTAGGTCCAGAGGCCATTCCTTCCTTGTCAAGGAGAGTGCTAACCTTCTGTCCTTTCATATAACACAGTCTTTTGTTTAACACTTTGTGTCTGTACATCGTTTGCTTTCGTTATTTAAAATGTTTTCAGAATTTGATAGAAATACTGATAAGAGATTGAAACAGAAATAATTGAAAAATACACCCAAACTGGACATTATTAACCAGTTTGAACTAATCATTTTTAAGCTTTAAGACAATTGTAGGGCAAATCTTAAGGCTTCTGAAAATGGGAAACATAAAGCAGAATCTATTCGTACAACTTTATTTTAAAAGATAAAGTTAGGTTATTTGAATATGGAAGGCCACATGCCTAAGGGAAAGAATGAAAGAGGAGCTCATATTCACATTATATATGCGGAGAACTAAGACTACTAGCCCATTTGCGAGATTCAATCCAGGTTGAACTCCCGGTATTCAACTGTCTTAACCACTCAGTCTCTGGCGGAAACCCTTTATTTGAAAAGACTTAGTGCACTGGTAATTTCCCTTGTAAAGAGTCATTGCAGTTCCTTTTGTGTGTTCCCATAAGTGGTTAGCACAGTGGGTCTTAAGGCCCGTTCCCACTGGGGTTTATCTGAGCTAACGAAACACAACTAACGTAGTCGACCCATCCCCAAAACCAGTTTTTCCCCATAGAGCAGCAAGTTGAAAAAATCTGAACTGCAGGCACAGCGGAGCTAGTCGACACAGGGAACTGATTCCGTTAGCTCAGATAAACCCCAGTGGGAACGGCGCTTTAAACGTCATGAGTTCAAGGACCCCTTTCATATGATGTGCATTTTTCAAAGCTTCTAATAATTAAGTTGCATGGTGTTTTTTATTATAATTTTTTTAATCGTTAGGAAAATTATACTAATTATATAAGTTGAATTATATTGTTTTTTTTTCACACAATTTAGGTATTTCTGGCTTAATGCATCCAGCTAGTATTTGGAAGCTTGTATCCAAATGCTAATGGGAGCTTTTTTGTTATTGAAAGGCCGAACAATTTCTATATCCTTAAAGTCCTTCACAAAGACATCCTTCTTTAGGCTGTTAGACCTTGTGTGCTTTGCATTATTCACTTAAGCAAACTAGAGAAGACAACATTAGGGTTTCTTAAGATCCTTTGTAATTCCATTGTAATCTTCACAATTCTGTGCATCTTTTACGTGTTCAACTAGATTGAATTTATTCCTACTGTTAGGATAATTATTATGTGATTCTGGTATTAAGTTTTAACCGACTAATGTATCCAACCTCATTCGGGAACCATTTTTTTAAAAATATTTTTTTTTTTAACTATAAACATATTAATTTGAAGATAAGCATATTAATTAATGAAAACAGCTTAAAAGGTAAGGCTGAGTAGTTTTAATTTTGAAAAATAATGAAATAAAGGATCATTTTTCCTTAAATTTTGCCTTTATGGCAACAACCACGGTGAAATATTTATATATAAATATGCAGTTTTTTAAATTTGTATTTATATTTACACTTGTTTTGTATGCAACATATGGTATTTACTGTATATTTTCCTATTATTGCATCCAAAATCTAAAAATAAAAAGCAAGAATTCAACTTCTAATTAATATTTCTAAAATCTTCCACTTCAGAGCATGCATCAGATTATATGAAACATGTATAGAAAGTACCATTTAATTTTATCGATAAAATTTTGAGTTATGGCTGTTACTATGGGCAATATTTACAGAAAAATCATTTTTCAGAAAACAAGTTTAAAGATTTCATAAAACAATTTCTTAGTGAAAGAAGCATCTCTGATAATTAAAATTTGCCTGCTTTGTAACTGACATCTTATTTTTTCTTCACACACTTTGCACTTTTTCTTTCGAACAAAGCGTAAATTTTTCTTTGGGTTTTTGTAAAACTTGTGCAATGCCGCCAAGAGTCATGATTTTGCACTTTATCAAGTTTTCGAATTCCCTGCTCAGTGTAAAATTCAGGATACATACCTAACCTTGAAAATGCTTCAAGCAAGCTTATAAATCCATCATTAAATAACACAACACTTACATTTGTTCCAAACATTAATGTTCGCAAGTTTTTGAATGTTTCTTTCGGAACAATTTGCAATAAAATGCCATTAAAACGTTTCCTGATATTTTGAGTTTTGCCATGCATGCACTTTTTTAATAACTCTTGTTTATGTAATCAACTCCATATGTAGGTTTAATCAAACAGAATATATGTAGGTTTAATCAAACAAAATATATGTTGATACACCAGAGGTTTTTGCCTGTTTTGTTTTTCTGATTTCTGCAATCGCACATTCCAACTCATTGATTGAGGAGAGCATTGGTTTCAAAGAAGAACTACAATGGAACAAGCAGCTAGTACAACCTGCTGCATCTCAAGTTAACTTTCCACATTACTTTTAATTCGCAATCCCTAATTCTGCAGTTTATCAATAAAAGAATCAGTCAGTTTAGCTTTTCCTTTCAATTCAGGAGCGGAGTTTTTTACTTTTCGTAGTCTACTACCAACCCTTTTCTGTACATGTCCAATGCATTCCAGTTTCTTGACCTGAATCTTTACCATATATACATCTTTCACAATTAAAAACCCCTTAGAATCCCCATCTTCATAATATTCCGTATACTTCAGCTTTTGTAATGTAATAAGTCATTCAAAAAGCGCATAAGCACCAACTGCTTCCATACCCGAGGCTGCTTCTTTATAATTTGCAGAACAATTATGTTACGCTTTACATATGTCGTGCTGAAGATTGCATTCCATTCTATTTATTTTGTTGCAAATGATGCAAAAATTTGACATAGCTTTCAAATCAAGCACTTTGCAACACTAATCGACAAAGCAGCAACACACCCATTCAACGTCCAATACCCTCCGCACCAAACTAAATACGAAATTAAGGGGGAAAACTATCGCCAGATTCTTAAAATGTATTACAAAATATCTAAACTTAGTATTAAGGTTTATAATTTACAAAATATTGATAATAAATAAATGCTTATAACTTCAGTTCTAATTAACCTATCAACAAGCAGAAACTTGTATTTGATAGCCAAAGATGTATTCTTTAAGATAATGTAATAAAGTAAAAATCAAAATTTTGACCGAAAATCGTTTTTTGTACGAGGTCGGATTTCCAAGATGCAAGGTTGTGATTTGCTAATTTTATTAGGAAGAATCAACTTTATATCTTGCTTAATACTTTTTTTTTTTTTTTCTTTGTGTGTGTGTGTGTATATTTGAAAAATTATAGCCAAAAGGCTATAATCTATCCCTCTTCTTTTAAGAATTAATATAAAGTCAGTATGTAAGAATATTGAAATTTTCCCATTAAATGCATTTTAAAAGTTAAAATAAAAAATTTACTTTTTTAAAAGGATAAAATGATGGAACGTTGTTCTGATGAAGTGATTGTTGTTGCTGCTACAAACAGACCTGACCTTATCGATGATGCATTATTAAGACCCGGTCGCTTTGATGTGATACTTTTCGTTCCTCCACCAGATATTGAAGTAAGTTTTCTGTTTTTGTAAGGTGGGCCCATAAAGTAAACAGATAAATTAAAACATTAAATGATGAAATAAAAAAGTGAAAGAATTAATATATACAGTGCAAAATCTGAGATGCAGACACCTAATATATTTTTAGGAATTTTTAATATGCTTTATGCATGCATGTTTGATCTCCCTACCCCCATAATAAAACATATGGAGAAACCTGATTCTTAATTTCATTTCATCACTAAATTACCTCGTTAGTAAAGAAACAATCAATTTAGCATAAATTTGTGTCATCAATAATTTGACTACCTATCTGTGTATCTGCTTGGCATACAACTCAAATTGAAACATTCTACATAGAAACATCATTGATTTTACACCTACCATTATTTTATATCCCTGACGCCAACCTGGCAAATCATTATTCATTATATTTTGCTTTCATCACTGCATATTTATCCGACATATAAAAACTTCAGTAATGTTTTATGCAGCGATGCCTAGACAATGTTTTTTATATTAACTGAATAACAAAGAGTATGGTAACTTTTTCTGTTAACTTTACACTTGACAATGATTACAGATTTAAGTTAAATGCACTAAGAAATGATGATGAGGAAAAATTTTACAAAAATTTCTTTCCATATGTTAAAAATAGATTTTATTAATGATACTCATAGGTCAAAAATTTTTATTAATTGCTTCTTGAATTAAGAGTAACTGAATTGTTATTCATATTGTAAGGATCTTAAGTTTTACTAACGTTTATTTTATTTTAAATCTTTACTATCACTTCTTATTTTCTACTTCCGGCCATAATTAAAAGCGTTAACTTATTTATGCAAAATTTGTCTGGCGAACGCCAAGTACTTAAGTTGTGGTTTTTTGCCAAGCGAGAGAGAGGAAGGAATTAGTCGAAGCAGGCCGCTTGCCTCAGAAGTTTTACTCGGTTGCTGTTTGCCTTCCAGGCCAGAGGTTTAATCCTCGTGATAATTTTAAACGTATTGTAGTGTTAACAGTTCTCTGTACTACATACGGCTTCCTGTTAATATACGGCCATTCTTCCTTGTTTATTATTCCAAAGTAAAGATAGAGTTTAGTTATATTTTTATATTCTTACGTTCAGACCACAAGTAGTTGGTCTCTGTATTCCGAAGTATGGAAATTATTGTAAAGAGTGAAAAATAAAGGGTTTTGTATACCCTTCCTGTATCCTGTCTACTTCCCACATTTATTGAACATAGCTTTAGTAAGCTCCCTGTTCCGAGTCAGGTCTGCACATGTTCCCAAAGAAAGTAAGACGGAATATTGAACCTGATAATATAAACACAGAACCTCCACCAGTGCCTCATATGGCTACACCGGATGGCAGAATTTAGGTAAGACAAAATTTTTGGAATTTAGAGAAGCACTAAGCAACAAAATTAAGAGCAAAAAAATTTTTAGAATTTAGGAAAAGCACTGGGACCTGAAATTTAGGGGTGTCAAAATTTAGAACGTAAGGAGGTAGTGGAATTTAGGACCTGCAAAGACTGCATCAGGCTGTAAGATATCTAGCGCCAGCCCTCGATAAGCCTTTTAAGTATATGTGGGAATTTATTCTGGACTCAGATAAGCCTTAAGCATGTGCAAGAAATAGGTATAAGTATAATGAATAACTAAACTAATACTATTCAGGTTTAATTGTCTCAATGCTCGATAGAAGCAAGACAAAATTTAGCGGCACAACTTGTCTTCTGTCGCCAATCTCATGATATATAAATAATGTGTAGCGGATGCTATTAAACTAGACTAAAATTATACTTTACTGATTCCAAGGGAATTTCAGTTAATATAGCAGACTGCACTGTTCCTAAACTTTCTGATTTGATCAAGCCTATTATTTTTTTCAGGCTGTTATTATTACAGCAGTTTTATGAAATTAAAGTATCAACTTTCAATTATGTCGAAAAGAGTTTATAATTGTGGAGGTTAAACAGGATCTACAAACGAAAACATGTTTCGATGCCCATTAAAGAAAAGGTAAAATTGCTGGGGGAAAAAAAAAATGGATAAAGATATATACGTCTCAAATTTATGCAAGGAGTATGGCACTGAAAAGTCAACTGTGCATGTCATATGTATGATACTTGCAGTGAACAATAGAAAATTATTCAGTATGCAAAAAGTGATGATCATGACAAAGTGATGATTAAATAGGTTCTGCAGCGAGGGTGTTCCATTGAAGGGTCCAATGCTAATGGCTCAAGCCAAAATATTTCATGAAGAAATGAACTTGGTATAAGGCAATTAAAATTTCAGGTGAAAAAGCTTCAGCTCATACTGAAGCTGCTAACTATTTGAAGATGAATTCATTGAACTCACTAATAGTTTAAAGTTATCTTCAGAATAAATTTACAACACTGATAAAACGTCTTTTCTGGCTATATGTACTGCAAAATGCCTTGGCAACCTCTACAGAAAAGGCTTGTATCAAGAGACTAACAATTTTAGCATGTGCAAATGCTGCAGGAACACACTGGTGTAAACATTCCATAATCGGAAAAAATACACAACCTCGAATATTTAAAAGAGTAAAGTTTCCCCTGTTATGTATCATGCAAATAAAAGAGCATGGAAGACACAAGCGTTAATGATTGATTGGTTTGAAAATTATTTTATACCTGAGGGTTGGCAACATTTGAAGGTTGGTTCCCCTTACGCAAAAATTGTCCTAATTATAGACAACTGTATGGCTCATACTCCACTTAAAGTTTTAGTGAAAGGTAATGAATTCATATTATTCTTTCCTCCAAACTATATGTCCATCATTCAGCCGATGTATATCGGAATAGTGCACACACTGAAATGCAAATGTAAAGTAGCATTTTTAAAGTCCCTCTTAAATTTCTTGAATTATGACAAGATTATTCAAGAATTTTTGAAATATTTTAGCATAAAATCTGTTATGTGGAGCATCACAAGATCATGGGAGGATGTGTCTCCAGACACTTTAAAAAGTGCTTGGCATAATTTATGGCCTATATTTCATGGTGAGGATGATGAAGATGATAGTCGAGAATTTGAAGGCTTTCCGCTTCACAAACCGCAGGTCAAATTTTCCAATTAATGGATTTTGTAAAGAAATGTGGAGAAGTGGTAATAAACAAAGATGATATAACAGAAGTTTTTCATTGCGATAACAATGCTCCAATCATCAATCAATTAACGGACAGCAAAATCTGTAGTATGGTTCTAGATCCAGAAAATAACGCTACCGGTAGTGAGGAAAGTGACAGAGAGGTTATTGGAAAATGAAAAAAATTTCGATTGACAAGTCAGTCAGAATTCTTGACACAGCATATACAGGACTTGAACAGTGAAACTGAACAAAAAATTGTGTCTGTCTGTAGAATTAAATAGAAAGTATTAGCACAAAAATCGAAGCAGCTTAAACAACTTACATTGAAAAAAAAAAATTTAATAAAGTAAACAAATAAATGCTAAGCATTTTTTGTGACATCTGAACTCTTGTTACAGCCAGTTTAAATATGTTATTTGGATGGTATAATCATTTTTAGTTACTGAGGGGGAAAATATTGCTTTGATATGGAACAATATTATAGCATTAAAGTTTTTTACAAATTAGATATATCTGCTCCTAAAACATTAGGGATGATGCAAACACTTTATGGTGATGCATCACTATAAAGAACGCAAGTGTATGAGTAATACAACTGCTTTAAATGTGAGTGCGAGAGCACTGAAGATCAAGCAAAGATAGGGCACTCTTTAACATCCAAGAATAAGGAAAATGTGAAGAAAATTCATTCTTTGGTAAAAGCTGATACACATGTAACAACTCAGCAACTTCTAGATATGTTTAGGATAAGCAAAGAAAACTATAGGTTAATTTTAATTGAATGAAAATAAGAAAAGTTTAAGCTCGATTTGTGCCTTGAATTTTGACTGAATGGCAAAAAGAAGACAAAAAAGCTTGCTATGAAGGTTTGATTACTAGGAGACAGGAAATCAATTTCTTAAAATGTATCATAGCAGGATATGAAACCTGGTGTCTACAATACGACCCAGAAACAAAAAGACAAAGTGCAGCAGTGCAAAAGGACCACCCTTACCCATGAAAAAGACAGATGTCGAAATCAAAGACTATGGTGATGCTAACTACATGTAAAGTTCCATTATTGGTATCTAACGAGTTATTATGATTTAAATCTTTACTGTCACATCTTTTTTCCATTTCCCTGCCAGAACGTAAATCAGGTTAAAAGTATCTAAGCTGAGGCTTCTCGGATTGAAAGTCAAAGCGTGTTTCTGTCTCTTGAGGCCATGCTACTAAGTTTTGCTTGCTCAGACAGGATTATAATTTTTCGTCTTTGCAGTTTCTGTCATTTAAATTATTATGTCGGTGTGAAGTCTGAGCTAACTTCATGTTAAAGCAATAATATAGCCTTTGGCTACAAGACTTAGTTTTAAATCTTGAAATTGACTGTAACTTAAAGTTACATCACCACAAGTGGTTGGCTGATTTTGTGAAGCACAAGACATCTTCCATTTCTGATTTAATAAAAAGGTTTGTTAAATCTTCTTAAGAGTTTTCACTTCTTTTCGAATACAGCGATAATTCACTTTGTGTCTGCACAGAGTTTGGACTTGGTTTATGCCACCAAAGACTAATAAACTTTAAAATGCTTTTTTTTTTTATTACAAGTTTATGCTACCAGCTGCCCAGACAATATAGTGGTTAGGGAAGCCTGACTGTGATACCGAAAGGCCTGGGTTTGAATCCCAGAAAAGACATGGTTGTAACTATCCGTCCGTTCATAGGAGGCGATGGCGGCCCACCTATTAGGTGCCTCCATAATAAAGAGATTACCACATCTAGCCTTGTATAGATTAATTGACTGGGCTACACAGTAACTGTTCACAATCTGCCATTGGGAAAAAAAAAAAGTTTATGCTATCAAAGAACAGCAAACTCTATATACATTTTCTGATTGCAAAACTCTTATTCATCATGAATTTGCTCCTAGAAATCAACCAATTAATTAATCAGTATTTTTACAAGTAATCAGTCTTTTTGATTAAGAAACAGATAAAGGCGAGTTAGGAACCTTTTGATTCTGAATGATAGTTTCTTGTACACAGTAATGCTGGGCCTGTTACAGCATTCTCTATACAACACTATCTTGCTAAGCATTCAAATGCAGTTATAAATCACCCATCACATTCTCCTGATTTACTGTCAGCTGATTTTTTTTCCAAAGCTTAAGATGGCCATGAGAGGACAGAGATTTGAAAATGTCTCACTTATTTAATCAAATGTTACACATATTTTGCAAACAGTTAGTTCCAGTGCTCGTAAATCGTATTTCTATGGCCTGGAAAAATTGTATAGGACTCCTCTGATGACTATTCTGAAAGGGGGAAATTTATTTGGAGATTAGTATTTTTTTTTTTTATTTATGAGAAGTTATCTGGTTACTTTATGCATGCAATCAAAATTTATAGGCGATCAAAATTTGAAAATTCTTTTTCTAATTATCTATAGAATATTAACATTTTTGGAAGGGGCGTAATTGAATAGATTCATATATATTTTTTTCGAAAAATTGAGAGTTCATGGTTGGAAACCTTGTAAGAAATAGAATATCAAAAAATGGTATTTAATAAATATTAATGAATTTTTATCAAGAGTAACTTAGTTGTAATGGAGTAAGGGAAAAGGGACTATGGAAAATGGAACAGTGAAATCTTTGTTATTCAGAAGATAATTTTCATATTTGATGTTCATTTAATGATGGTGACACATAGTTACTCAAAGAAATAATAATGAGAGACATAGTTACTCTCATTATTTTAAGCAGTATATATATATATATATTTATTTCAAAAGAAGAAATTGAGTTTAATTAAAAAATTAATTAAAACTTACTATTTACTTGCTTTAAGTATTTTTTTTAAAAAATTTTTTATGTAGTATCTAAGTATTTTCTAAATATGAAATTATATTTTTAAATATATATTTATTTTAAAAATTGTGAATTAGTTCTTTTTGTTACTTTTTGTTTTTATTGGTTTATATGGATTATGTATAGTTCTTTTATATTTTCTTTTTATTGATATGCATATTCGTGTAGGGGAAGTTTTCGTAGACAAGGATTTCTAAATACATTGGTTTCTAAATTTTTTTATTATTTTATAAAAAATTAATTTTTAAAAAATTTAATTTTTTAAGAAAAAAGTTTAATTCTTGATTTTACTTGCTTGTTTCTCAAGAGACTTAATTAGTATTTTCCTTTTTGAACTTTAATTCTTAAATGTTAATACTTAAATGTTAATTTCTAAGGGTACCACTTTATTGGAATTACTTTTGGTTTTCACTTTTACCCTTGCCTGCATGAATGACGAAACACGAATTGAATGATTGGAGAGTTAGGTTTGGAGGCAACTTCCCCTTGATAAGTCTGTCTCCTGCCTACTCTACGATCATTCACATATGCATTTTTTAAAAAATTGTTTAATTTAATTTTTAATTTATTAAATTAGTAGATTTATTTTCATGGATAGATTTTACACTTGATTTGCTTATGCTTCTGAATTTAAATGATATTGTAGATTAGTTCGAGAATTAAATCTTTTTACATGTTTGCATATTTTTAAATTATTTTAAATTATTTTGGCTTTTTTCCTTTTTTTAGAATTTAAATTTGCTTTCTACTTTTTTACTTTTATATGTATTTGTTTAGAATTTAAATTTGTTTAAATTTATATATATATTTATATATTCTGGTTTATTTTAATGCATACTTCTGCTTAAAATTGTAATGCATATTTATTTCTACCTTTAACTGTTGAAAACAGCTCCTTGGATTATACAGGAGAAAAATCTAAATGGTTGTCATGTCAAATATACAGGGTTCTACTGTATGTAGTTTTACTTTTAGAAAATCCAGCTTCAGAAAAATGTGAAAATCAGTGCCAGATTTATTTAAAAGAAGGCAAATCCTGTTTGTATCATGCAAAAATATATCTGCTTGCATCGTATCATCTGTTGATAAATGTTTAGAGTAGAATTTCTAATTTATGCTGATGGATTTTCACTTTCTTAGGAAAGGGAAGAAATTCTTCAAACTATAACTGAAAGTGTGCCCATGAAAGATATAAATTTGAAAACAATAGCACAAAAGACGGAACATTTTTCTGGTGCAGATCTGAAAAATCTTTATCAAAAGGTAGGAAGTTCTTTTATGAATGCTTTTTAAAGTTATAATTTATGATATTTTATTTTATGACAAATTTTTGAAATTTATAATACTGCTTTTGTAAATCTAAGCATATGTTTCCTGTTGTTTAATATTATTTTTCTCATTTTTTAAACATTATGCAAAAATTTTGAAAAAATTCACCCATTAAAATTCACAGCATGGAACGAATCAATTTTACAAATATAATATTTAGCTTCCCCCTTTATTATATCAAAACTGCAATTTACAAAAGTTCTTTTATGCTGTGTTTGTGAATTGTTCTCAACTCATTTAGAACTGCAGATGCTTTTTTCAAAATTAGAGCAAATTAGAGAAATAATGTTTTATAAATTATTCAAATAATTTGATTTTTTTAATGTATAATGATTTTTAACATAAATTATTTCTATAATTTATTTTCTGAAAGTTTTAAATAATGATCTAAAACAGCGATTCTCAACTGGTGGTACATAACAGAAAAATGCATACTGTGGTACAAAGAAACAAAGTAATTTAAACTATTAAATTTAAAAAACATCCATGGCAAAAAACAAACAAACAAACAAAAAAAAAAAAAAAAAAAAAAAAAAAAAAAAAGAATAATTGATAGAAATTTCCTGTGATAAAACTCTAACTGAAGATTTCAAATGTAACATACTTGGAAACTTTTGGCTGAACCGAGGAAAAAAGTTTAAAAGGTTTTCAAATGAAGTTATTAAAATTTTATTGCCTTTTTGCACAACCTATTTGTATGAACAAGGATTTTCTTCCATATTATATTTGAAAATTAAATGCAGAACAAAATTAAAAGTGGATCCTAATTTACAATTAGAACTAAGTGAAATAAGACCAAATATAAAGAAATTAATCTCTCTTTCACACTAAATTTTAGAATTAAAGTATTGTAACTTAAATTTTTAAATTTAAATGGTAACCAATTTTTAATCTAATATATTTTTATGTATTAATATTTCTTTAGAGAAATTGAAAATAATAATTGTAAAGTGTAGTGGTGGTGCGAAAGCTTTTTAATTTTTGTTTAGATGGAACGGGTTAGCCAAAAGGTTGCGAATTGCTGATCTAAACCACTGATTTTTAAATATTGTATTGCTGTATGTAAGCTCACTGGACAAAAGTGAGGGAAAAGGACTATCTTTGGCTTCTTTTTGTGAAATATAATTTAAAAATTATTTCTAGTCAACATTTTCATATTTACTTTAAGAGTAGTAAAATATTGCTAGAGCAAATTTGATCTTCATAGAAGTGGGCAAAAAAAGATAAACAGGAAAAGATGTATTTTTTGGCATAAACATGGAGTACATGAGATTTGCAGTTTTTTATTTGTAAAAGACTAATTTTAGTACCGTATTTGACGGCATATAAGACGCACCCTTATTTAGAAGGCCATACACAAAGAAAAAAAGTCTGAATAGTCCACGCAAGAGCGCGGTACCACAATAACTTTAAATGGGATTTTCTTTTAGTTCTCATGTTTCATAAAAGCCAAATAAACAATCATTGAATGCAATTACCAAACATATTTTTATTAAGGAAAATTAACAAATGGCAAGCTATTTTGAACATGATATGAAAATTTCAATAGTGAATAAATGAATGAACGGCAAGCAATCAAAATAAAGCAGAAACAACAAAAAACACAGATTCAAGGAAAACGTTGCCTATCATGAAATAAGACATTAATCACTTTCAAAACCATAAAAATCCTTTTCACTATCATCATCATTGAAAACAAGGATATCGTCATCACTACTGTTTCCGTCATCGCTAGTATCACCTTCTTCGAATAATGCGTCGTCTTCTGTTCCATCAAGAGATTACTGATTCCGCACTTCTTAAAGGACTTACCAATTACTTCAGCCTTTACGTCCTCCCAAGATCTTTTTACAAGTACGCCAAGTACGTATCATTTTTTCAGTAGGTGGTGGATCGAAATGCCTTGCTGCTGCTCTGTTTCCATGCACTTTGGCGTAGTTTAACACTCCTAGTTGTATAGCTTAATCTCCTGTTTCCTGTAGTCATATCTTCCAGGGTATTTTTTAAAACAAATAGTTTTAAGCACCGATACCAACATGTTTATACAGAGTAGCACAGATACCGACACGTGTGTCGGCTGAGTCAAAGAAAGTCTATGTAAAGATACTTTTATTGTAGGTGTGGGCATTCAGTGATTATCCAGTTTCTAAGTTCTATAAATTGCATTTATTCTTTCGCAAAAACTCTGATAATTACTGAAAGATAAAAAATGTTCAAAATAAGAAAATCCTTGAACTAAAGTAATTACATGTCTTTAATTACCAGAAAATTCAAAATTCGTTGCAATTATGCAACTTTGAGCTATTTTCTTCAAAATAGGCAGGAAGCATATGCATTCAGCATAAGTTTTTGAGCAAGTAATTTTTAAGCACATTATCTAAAGCAAAATTTGTCATGTGTGGTATCACAAAAGCTGTACAACAGCAATTCTTTTAAGCATTCTAATTCAATTTCATTATTACAGTGCCTTTTAATCATTTATCTCTTGATGAATTGTTGGCTTTCACTTTTATCATTAAAAATGTTTCCCTCACCTCCCCGATATTAAATCATCATCACCTCTATACATTGCATTTGAGATGCTTGTTACTTTAGAATATTTTCAGTTGATACCCTGCAATACATTTTCCCATATAGCCTATCCTTATCTTTTTCTGCACTAAAACAATAATTCAGTGTGGTAACATTTTTGTTATTACTAAAACATAGTCTTATCATTAAATATCATTAAAATAAAAATACTTCCTTCACTCATCCCAGATACCGAGCAATCCAGAAAAACTAAAGACAAAACTTGCTCACTTACCTGGGTAGTGTGATGTTGAATCTGTAATAAAAACTCTAATATGTTGATTTATCTAATTATATTCTCTCTATACTACAAAATATATACATTTTTTAACAATTGTCGGGAAATTTTTCTGGCCCCGAAAGTTATTACACACTTAATCAGTTCACGTCACGAGGTCACCCCCCCAAAAGGGAAAAAACCCCTTTTTTTCTTCCTACTTCAATGACAGCCAACGCCATCTGTGTCTCGTACATCAAAATGAAGAGATTTGTTTTTAATATTTGTTAGATACAGCTAATCAGTTTCACAACACTCCCACCTTTTTGATTTTCAGAAGGAAAATCAAAAATCAAATAATGGTATCCTTAGTACAGGAACACACTTCTAGAGGGTACAGTTTTACGTACAGGACGAATCAGTATGCCATTTCTAGTTTTCACTTTTACAACTCTTACACGTCCATCTCTGCTTGTACAAAGTTCTTGGAACACGAGCAATTGGCCAGTTCACTCTTTTAAGGTTCTCACAACCTATTAGCACGATGTCTCCAACTTTTAATTCACAGTCCGTCTGTCCATGCTTTTGTACTAACTGTCCAAGGTACTCCTTGCGGAAACGGCTACGAAATTGTTCTCGAAGTTCCTGGCAGAAACGCTGACGAGCCAAGAGTTTATTTCGATCTAAAGCATCCAAATCTGCTGTACCTGAAACCTTAATGTCCTGTAAGAACATGGAAGGCGTTAATGGTAGAAGATCCTCAGAGTCATTTGACACATAAGTTAGTGGTCGACAGTTTATTACGACTTCCACATCACAGATGACGGTGAGTAACTCTTCGTAATTGACTGCAGCTTGTCCTAAGACTCTCACAATCAAATTCTTGGCTGTGCGGATTAGACGCTCCCACCATCCGCCCCACCTAGCAGCAGTGGGCGGAATGAATTTCCAAGTGATGGGATGCAAAGTTTCCTTTTTCAGCAATGCAGATGTACCGACGAAATTTGTGCCGTTGTCTGAATAAACTGTAGATGGCCGACCTCTTCTGGCTATGAACCGACGAAATGCTTGAATGAAGCATTCGGTACTTACGGATGTCACTAGTTCCAAATGTACACATCTATAAACAGCACACGTAAACAGCACTACCCAGGATTTGTTTTTATTTTTGAGAATCAGAGGGCCACATAAATCTATGCCGGTAACTTCAAATGCGAACGCATCTCGAACTCTGTCTAATGGTAATTGAATGGGTGCAGTAGTTGGAGGTTTTGCTGAAAAATCGTTTACAACGGACGCACTGTTTCACCACCAATCTAATTCGGCGTCTTGCACCAATGATCCAGAATTCTTCTCTAATTATAACAGTTAATGCTTGTACGCCGGCATGAGAATGCTTTAAATGGTAATCTCTAATTAAACAGTCAACAATATAATGCTTAGAAGGTAATAAAATCGGGTACCAGAATGCATAAGAATCATCTCGTTCGGTGATTTTTGTTTTTACTCTTCTTAAGCCACTCTGATCTCGTATGGTCAAAAGACCATTGATGGAGTCTCTAGTCTCTGGAAAACTCTCCCCCTGAACAAGTGAAAGAAGTATAATTTTAGATTCCTTTATCTCGGAAGCAGACAGAAAAAGCTCTTTATTTACAATTTTTTTTTTGACAATTTTTGATAAATCTCTTTATCCAACCTAAAACTCTTAACATTTTTGAAAATTTAGAGAACTTCTCACACCACTTAACTTTATCCGCTTTTGTAGTTATACTAAGATTTACATTTAAATTTATGCCTTTCCTGCGCTCTGAAAAAACTAAAGTTTCATTTGGCTTAAACCTCTAATTTTTGGCCAGCTATCTCTAGGGTCTTTGAGCCAAACAGGCCCTCTCCACCAATTTAATTCGAAAAACTGAAGAGGGAACAACCACGAGAAGGTAAATCAGCTGGGTTAGAATGACCCTGTACATATGACCACTGATTTGCTTTAGTGAAAGCGCAAATTTCCTTCACGCGATTGCCCACAAAAAGTCCCCCACGCATCATTTCTTTGAATCCAAGATATTGGCCGTGGTGGAATCGGATCCAAAAATATTTCGGGATGTCATCCAATGTAAGAGCTTCTGTCACATATTTGGAAAGACGC